ACAGGGCTGTGTCACCCAGGGTGGAGTGCAGTGGCACAATCAATAGCTCATTGTAGTCTTGAACTCCTGGGCTCAAGCAATCCTCCTGCCTCAGCCTCCTGAGTAGGTGGGACTACAGGCATGTCCACCATGCCCAGCTAATTTTTCTTATTTTTTGCAGACACAAGGTCTTGCTATGTTGCCCAGGCTGGTCTTGAACTCCTGACCTCAAGTGATCCTCCCTCCTCAGCCTACCAAAGTGCTGGGATTATAGGCCTGAGCCACTAGCCTAGCCACAATGTCCAGCCTCAGTATTATAAATAATAACAATAGCTATCATGCTTTAAGCTTTTGATACATGTCTAGCAATGAGATAGGCACTTTACATGCACACATACATACCTGTCTTGCAAGGTGGGTATCATCCTCATTATATAATTGCAAAAATAGGTTTGACTTTGCCTAGTCACGCACTTGTAAAAATTGTTCTCCATTCTAAAACTACAGTTTCTATATCGAGTTAATTAGTGTTCTTTCCTCTGGAGTTTGCCATTTTGTCCGAAGGGCAAACTCCCTTTACTTGGCCTTGGGTAGTTTAAATTGTCTCATTGCATTGAAGAAACTGGGAAGAAGCCTGGGTATGGTGGCTCTTACCCATAATCCTAACACTTTGGGAGGCAGAGGCTGCAGGAGGATTGCTTGAGGCTGGGATTCAAGACCAGCCTGAACAACATAGAGACAGCAAGACCCTGTCTCTACAAAAAATTTTTAAAAATTAGCTGGGCATGGTGGCATGTACCTGTGGTCCCAGCTACTTGAAAGGCTGAGGCAGGAGGATCACTTGAGCCTGGGAGTTTGATGTTGCAGTGAGCTATGATGACGCCACGGCACTCTAGCCCAGGCGACAGCAAGACCCTGTCTCAAAAAAAAAAAAAAAGTCACTGTTCCTGTCAAAGTAATCTCCCCCTCCAGGTTCTAGTACCCACTACCTCCCTTTGTCTTTTCAAGCCTAAGGCAGTTATTAGCCTCCAGTTACTGACCTGTCCCTTGCCCATTCCTTTTAAAAATAGCCCCTCAGTGAGTGGCTGGTCCCAGTGCAGTGGTGTTTACAACTAATTGATCACAGTCAGTTACAGATTCCTTTGTTCCTTCTCCACTCCCACTGCTTCACTTAACTAGCCTTTAAAAAAATAAAATAAAATAGCCCTTCATTATTTGAGCACTCTCTCCTGTTGGGACCCTGTCCAATATACCTGGTAAACGTAGGTGTTTAGATTCATAGGCTTCATGTTTTATCCATGTACTTGAACCTTACTCTCATACCATAACCTTAAATTCTTATGAATCATAGTTCTGAAGGGTCAACTGCTGGATTCAGAAGCAGCGAGAGTGACTCATACCTGTGCGGTTCCCAAGCATGGGATGACGGCAGCATCAACAAGACATAAATCTGAGAAATAATAGCTCAGGCCCCTGTGACTTAGGCCCCAAAGAACCCAAGATGCTGAACAGCTTTCCAAGCTTTGTGACTGCAGAACCTTCTGTGTTTCAGGTCCCCAAAGCCTAACACAAGCTGATGGACTCTGCCTGCTGGGGCCCTCGTTTCTCCATAACCTCCCAGAATGCCTCTGAGAAATCAGCTTAGAAATCCCTGAGGGTGATGACTGTATCTTTCTGTTGGCACATTCTGGTTTTTCGAAAGATAAAGTTTGAGCTAATATTCTGATTTTTTAAAAAGACTAGCGACAGATTCCTTTTCATTTTTCTTTTTAAATTATTCCCGCCTGACAGGAGTACTTTTTTTTTTCTTTCTTTCTTTCTTTTTTTGAGACAGG